GGGCACCTTCTCCTCTTCCTCCGCACCCCAACTTTTTTTGTTGGTTTTTTTTTGTTGTTGGTTCCCTTCGTCTTCTCGGTGAAAACTCGAAAGAAACTGTCACACTCTTTGTTTTGATCTCTTTGTTTATTGTTTTTTGTTGCTTTGGGTTTTTGGTTGTTTTTTTTTTAAACCAACTTCCTCAGTTAAGATTGTACACAGTTCGTCTGGTAAAGCGCCTTTACGCTGCCCTCTTTCAGAAGACCACTTGACCTCTAATATTATTTTAAAATATCATAAAAACTGTTCACCTGCGTGCTGGGAAGGAAAATAAGTTGGTTTTGAATACTTAAAAGTATGTTCTTTTCCGTATAAGAACCCAGGTAAACAGGTTTAGAGGAAAAGCCTTGGAAGTTCTGCTAGAGCTTTCTTAAAAAAAAAATACAGGAGTCTTTAAAGAAAAGAGCTAGTTCAAAGTACTCTAAGTCCCCCAGCAGATAAATGATATTTTGTGTTCTAAAGTGTCAGTGCATGAAGGTAAGCAATTAGAAAATAACAGATAACACTGTGAATATTCTTCTCTGCATATAGTGTATTGAACCAGCTTGCAAAACAAACGTTTTTAAAAATACTAAAAGAGTTGATATATTTACTTTAGGTGCATGAGAAATATTTCCAGTTTAATGCCTATTAAAGAGGTGTTTTCATACTTATTTTTCAAAGTATGCTATTTTTACAGGGAAAGTAAAATGTATCTGGTTATGTTTTACTTTGGAAATACTTGGACTAAATTTGTAATCTAGTTTTCATGGACATTTGTGAGTGTCTATATATTACACTTAGAAATAAAACTCTTAAAATAAGCATAGCTGGGACTGATGCATGAAACAGTGCTGCCTTGTTTTTACAGAGTGTTTTGTAGCTTTCTCTTCAGGTTATTGCTTTATGATGCAGCACTTTAATACTTTTTTTCCTGAGCAGTGAGTGCTCAGACTTGCTTATCTTTGAAACATTAAAAATGGTCTGTAGCCTTATGTAAAAGCATGGAAAGTACTGTTTAGGGAGTTGTATCTTTCACCTTTGGATTTTGTGTTCCAATTTGTTCATATTTATTTTATTTTTATTAAGGCTTAAGCATATAATGAAACTGTGTCTGTGACAATATAAGTATGTTATGGGGAGTGTGATTGTGAGCAAGAAATAGGCAGTAGCTTTACATACGGAGTTTTAGTTGAGCGGTCAGTCCCCAAAAGAAGCACGTACAATCTTAAGGAACATTTCTGAGGGTTTTTTTGTCATCATATATTTTAGGAAGGGAATATGCAGAGCATGGGACGCTGGCAAAATTGTCTTTCTAGGGACTCTTCCAAGGTTAGCAGCTCTTGCAGTTGCTGAGTACCAGTTCTGTTGCTTGGAAGTTTATATGAAACATTGGCCTATTTCTCGAGTTAAAAAGGCTTGCAGTGTTTTATGCTTTAGCTAATTGTGAGTTGTTTCACATAAGGTCATTTGTTGTAAGGAAGCTTTACATGTTTAAGAAAAATACTGAATTTTATCAATTCAGCTGACATGTTGTCAGTTCTTGCCTAGGAATAGTTTTAAGTGTTCTGCGTGGTTTTGATTACCCTTTTTGATTGGAAAAGCAGTTTGAGGGCTCTTGAATTCTAAAACTGTTTGGAATTAAAAGAATCTCTATATCCAGTGTTTTTAAAAGTTTATTCTTCAACTGACAAATGCTATTTAATCTTAATTTTCTTTGGCTGTATGAAACTAGCAGTCTTCTGTTTTGGCTTGAATATTTATAGGATTAATTCTGCAATCATGGTATAATAGTTATCTTTTCTGTTCATTATCTCTAAATTAGATGGTATAGATTAAAAAATGAATTTCAAGAACTGGATTCAATTAGCAGTTTTTCAGGACATAAACATTAAAGGTTTAGATGGAAAACATTGTTTTGACTGACTGGATAAATGACAGGGTAATGTTTGATGTGAGTCCAAGAACTGATCTGGAGCTAGTGCCCAACTTCTCAGTCCATCTTGAGGAGCCAAATAAAATATTTAACCTAGGTCTCATTTTGCAAAAAAGGTTGATTCTTTGTTGGGACCTTAAGAAAGTTCTGAGAAATGTTTGGCATACCTTTACACTAAGTGTTTAACAGTTTATTTAGGTCTGGGTTCCATAACAGAGAAAAACCACAGCGGTGGCATACTTCTAGTAAGTTTTTATTTAGTTTGCAGTGCATCTGTGTTATACATTTCTTATAAAAGGTTATTCTTTTGCTCCTAGGTTTAGTTGTCTCGTAAATATCACTTGAATCTTTAGTGATACGTATGTCAGTGCATTTTGCACAACCTTGAGCTAGTAAATTGGTGGATAATTGTTAAAACCCAAATATTATGCCTTCTGATGATATTTCACTTCTAGTATGAGGCGCAAGTGCTTGTTTCTGATTAAAATATAGGCAATGTAATTTAAGTTAGCTAAAGTCTAGAATTGCACTAGTCTTTTCCAACATTTATCTTAGCAGCTTGTAATAACATTATCCCAGGAATTCCTAATATAAGGAAAGTCCCTTCAACTGACATTTGTACCACCATTTTATCTAGTCCTATCCCGAGTACATCTGAGTTGTACAAAAGCTGCAAGTGCAGTCATCCCCCTTCCGTTCTTACTGTGATATTTCTCAGTGTTGTGTTGAATTTGTGGATTTGTAAAGATACTATACTCTCAGGCAGAATGCACTCTTCTTTCTTCCACCCCCCATGTTGAATTGCATTAATCTTACATTCTTCAGAAAACTGAGAAATGACCATTGCTTTCAGTTGCTCGGTAAATATTTTATGTGCTAATCTGTGAATTATGTGACATTAAAATAGTTACATTTGACTGCTTTCACTTACGATATCAATGACAGTTATCTGAATGAAGTCCATAGGGCTGTTTTTATCAAGTAGAAAGACGTATTTTAAAATCAGTTTGAAGTCTGAAGAACTACATGGGCACTAGAATATATTGAGTTGTATAAAGGTGAGCACATGAATTTATTTAGTTCATGTGTTAGAGCTAGCGTTTGTGTCGGAATAGTTAACAAGTAAAGATACTTTGATAGCCACAAAGCACAGTTACACTGTATTGTAAAAAGTGGTAATAAATATCCCGTGGATAAAACTGGAATGAGCTGGAAGAGTGGTGTTGGTAAAGAATCAGAGGTAGGCCTGAAGAGTTGTTAGATCTGGTTTTCTTCCTCCTTACTGCTGTAAGGTTTTAGGTTTCCTGGCAGAAGTTGCTAATTAGGGAAATAAAAGCACTGGATCTTGTGTTGTAGAAAATAGACAGCATCTCATCTTCTGTCCTACTGTCTCTCTTGTTGATTTTACTGTCTATTCATTCCTTACGGTACAAAGGTGGTACTGTACTATAAGGTTATAGTGTTGAATGAAGAAGGTGCTAGGGTTTTTTTTATCAGTTCCTAGAAACTCTTGTGATGTTAATAATATTTCCCCAGAAAGATATGTATTATTTAGAAAAAACCAGAATATTCTTGAGTTTTGCAAAACAGTGTGGAATCTCCAAACCTGTTTTTTGCAGTGGATAAATCTAACAGTTAATATAATCGAAAACAGTGGTTAACCAAAATTTTGAATTCTCATTAGTGTTGTTGGAAGTGGGACTGAAGTTTATGGATAGAAGAGCTGCATTATAGGAACAGCATTACTGATTGATAAAGTAGCTACCTATATTTTTAAGTAGCAAGGATATGGTTTCATAGTTGACTTAAATCGTAGTGCAATTTTAGGTCAGTTTAAAATCTGAGTGCTCTTTCTTTTTACTCTTTGTAGTCCCTGGCTTCACTTTTCTGGGCCTTCCCTTGTGTTGACTCCAGCAACTGTGTAGCTATTTGATGAGCTCAAAGCTAATCCTGCCAAGAAAAAAATGGGGTTTTTGCATTGAAGGAGAGGGATGCACATGAGAAGCTGAAAAGAGGGCAGGACTGCCTCCTTTACCAGCAACCTATAGTTAGATAGGCTTTGGTCAACAATAAAACAATGGGGTTCCTTCATGTAAGGTGTATTTGACTTAATGACACATGACTTACAAAAAAACTAGTACTTAAGAAATTAGAATCAATAAATTACATAGTAGGTGGATTAAACTGGTGCCATCTTAACAAAGTCAATAGGCATGTGTCTAATCAGATTGTATAGGGATTGATGGATGCTTGGCCCTCAATATTTTCATCAAAGTATGAAGTGTGTGTGTATATATGCTCTTTATATATACAGTACATAGTTATAGATATTTATGTACATATAAATCAGTTGTGGATCACAGGGACACCAAAGAATTGCAATAAACAACCCAGCAGCTGTATGGAGCCGTCTCAACTGCTTGTTTCAACAGGATCAGCTTATATGACAAAGTTTTATTTGTCTGGGTATAAAATTAGGTATCAGTGTTCAAGGATATGTAAAGGGGTATCGTGGCAAGGAAAAAGATCAAAAAGAGTTTGGGGGAGGAAATCATAGTAGGAAAAGAGTTCTACAGGAGCGAAAAGGCCCAATATTCATCTTTGGTTGTAGAATCAGGAAAGCATCGAGTAGAAGTGAGTACAGGATTTACGTGTGTAGGTAACATGGGACATAGGCAGGAGACGTATGGAAAATTTGCAGTCAGTCCTAATGTTAATGTTTAAAAAAATAAAGCTTTTGGGGAAAAAATAAAAGCAAAACCCTGGGGGTAGAAAAATAGCGAGTAATTTTTA